CCTCATCCTTTGGGTCATAAGTTGATCCTCAGCTGGGGGCCAGGCAGGAATTTCCTCCCAGAGGATATTATTGTTCTGTGAGGTTCTCAGGGGAGATTCACATCCTCCAGAGGATCTTGCAATAGCCACTGCATCCAAAAAAGATACTGCCCAGAAAGAGCCAGTGCTCTGCTCCCCCCTGCCGAGCCCTGCCTGTCCTCTGTCTTTATGCTTTTAACTAACCGGTTGCGACGCACCCTTAACCAACATCTCACACCGGCCTAACGCACCGGAGCCCCAGGGGTCGGACGGCACACGGGTGTCCGCGGGGACCAGGCTCTGGAGCCTGCACCGCGCCCGGGCCCGCACCGCGGTGGCCAGGAGCGGGATGGGTGCGGGACGGGTGCGGGACGGGCGCAGGATGGGTGCGGGACGGGTGCGGGACGCTGCCGTAGCCCCGCTCCTTCTGGGAAGCGCCGTGAGTCACCGCATCACCGCCCCGCCCCGCTCGCGGGCTCAGCCAATCACCGCCCGTAGATTTGCATAGACGCCCGGGCGGTTCTGGTCCCGCAGCAGGCTCCGCAACCGGCTGCGGCCTCCGCTCTCCTCCAGCAGGCGCTACCGGGCACCGTGGGGCTACGAAGCGGGAACGGGCGGCAGGAGCGGTCCACAGGCAGAGCCTCCCTCGCCCTGTCCTAGGGGTGACAAAAGGACGAGGCTTTATGTATGGAGCGTTCGCAATGCGCAAATTGCCCGGATGACCCTCAGTGGTCTGGGGTGCAGGCTTCAAACCTGTAGCTGTCTAGCGACAGAGTGGTTCAATTCCACCTTTCGGGCGAGCCGAGCCGCCGGAAAACCAGCAGCTCCCAAACACCTTTTATGCCCCAGGGTCGGTAGGGCTCCAGCATCCGGCATAGCCCGAATGCATACTCGGGAATACATCTTCCACTGCAGCGTTATCCTTTGTCACGGTGCAGGGACACTGGCCCTAAGGAACACCTCCTGGGGCACAAGTCCCGACCACTCATCTTCCACCGAGCTGGCAAACAAGCGTTATTTCCCTTCCATTTGTTATTGCCATCCCCTCAGAGCACAGGACTGGACTGATGAAGTGGCAGTGTGCTGGCACAGATGAGGGAAGAGAAATCACCCAAGGGTGCCTGGGGGACATTTGGGTTTTAATTGGATTCTGCTAAGCAGGTCTTCGTTATGGTGTCACGCATCCTACAAGAACAAAAAGAGAAGTAAATAACAGAAGTCATTCTCTAGATCTGCTCCATATTGATGATAACCCATCTCCCACCCACACTACAACAAAGATGCTTCACTACAGCAGCAAGCACGGGTGCTAATAATGTCACCCAGCCCCACAAAAAATAAAGGTTAGCGTGAAGCCAAAAACCATATTCTTCAAGCAGAAGGCATTTATTTTGTGACACCCTATTGCGGTGGCTCCAGCAGATGATTCGTGGAGCCTCTAGCTAGGATGAGACCCAACCAGCCCCACTGCAGGGGACAGTGAGGATTGGAAGGGCATTTCCTTGGCACCTCCTGATCCCACAGGCAGGAAGGGTGGTTCTGCCTGGTGAATCCCCCGGAGGGAAGGGAGGAATACTGAGTGAAACACCGGGTCCCCGGTGTTCCTGGGTGCCTTTTGGGATCGGAACTGCCATCGGAGTTAAGTAGGTAAGCATCCCTGGGGAGGTAAGCTGGAATGACTGTGCTTCCTATACATCAATGACTCACTCAGGGAAGCACCGGGAAGAGAAGGGAAGGGCAGCGAGGGCCCTGACACCCCTCCTGATGGCCGCTGCTGCTTCCAGCCCACAGATCGCCCCATTCAATGCAAGAGGAGTAGCCCTAGTGCCAGCAAGGCCTGCTGCCCGGGAATACACTGCTCCATTATGGGAAATCTCAGGGGAAAACCCCTCTGTGGCTCAATCCAGGGTTTTTACAGCCTTGTAGGGGACGTGCTTGCGCTCTCCCCAGCGCAGCAGGGAGTGCTCCAAGCCCCAGATGGCTATCTGTGTGCTCCGTGCCGCTCCGTCTACCAGCCAGCCTCCTCTGCCCGTAATGAACTTTCTATGTGGAATTTCTCTGCGGCCTCAGAAACTGGTATCTGCACCGCAGCTTGGCTGGGGGCTTTTGTTTGTGGCGGGGGGGGGAGCACTGGAAAGGCCTTTGCCCAGTAGTGGGCAGCTGAGAACGTTAACGTTGGATGTCAGTTACCAAATCGAACATAATACGGCTCTTTCATGTGGTGTTTATAACTGAACATGCTGTTTTGTGTCAGCCTGGGGTTTTTTCTCTTCCAAGAAGTAGTTTTGGATTAAATTATGACAATTACATTCTTATATTCACCCCCCCTCACCAACCCCCCACCCTTGCCCTGCGTGCACACAAACACAAATGGGAATTATGTGCTCTGAGCGCGATTTGAACTATACAGCCTGGGATCTGTGCCTGGCATTGAGTTCAGTTTTCTCCCTCCAGAATAAGAAGGCCACATCCACTCCGCACTCTTTCATCGCCTTAGGATAAAGTAGGATGGTCAGATTGCTGGGGTGGGTGATACTGTCCCGCAGGGAGTTCATGGGGAAAACAGACTTTCAAGCGCATGAGACAGGAGGCTGGGGCACCGTGGCAGGGGAGGTTGTTGTGGTAAGCAGCATGGAGGGCTAGGTTTGTGAAATCCAGTGTGAATCCCTGCTCCGAGCTGCTCACACACCCCGGCTGGCTCACGTACCTGGGCAGTGCCTCATCTGCAGGCAGACAGCAGGAAGTGGTCCCGTCCTTTGGGGCCGCGTGCCCTTTAGGACGTGGCTGAATGTAGGGAAACATGGGGTTTCATCAGGACAGGAGACACCACAAGGCTGCTCTTGCAGCCTTTAGCAGACACCGTAGGTGGGAGAAGGCTTAGGAAACAGGGCACCCTCTATTTTGGTGCTACTCTTTAATCACTAGCTGGAGAAGAGCACCAGTGCGGAGTCCCATGTAGATGATCTGCCTGTAGGAGGGACATTTAGGACAATGCTATCCATGTCTTGCCCAAGTTGGCTTTGTTTGGAGTCACTCATTAGTCAGGCAAAGCTTTCAGCGTTTGAACCTGAATGTCACTTTCTTCCCTGACAAAGGGCCAAGCTAAGAGGAGCCAAAGGCTTCACCACTGGTTAGAAGGCAAGCCAGGGGTTACTCAGAGCCAAGACGCACGAGATCCTGGCTCCTCAGCAAACGTAATCTGCCTCCTGTTGTTTTCCCCATGGAGTCACGGCGGGGTGAGGAGGATGTGCTGGTGACAGATGGCTGACACGACTCACTGAGTGCTAAGGGTGACTGGGCTGTGACTCAGCAAGTGTTTGGTTTCAAGAGCTTGGGAGCATGTGCTTTTACACTGGTAACGGTGGCCCTCGCTGGCTCTCCTGGAGGACTGGGCATGGGCTGCCATGTGAAGCCTGTGCCTGCCGTCCTCTATGGGAGGAAAGCAGGCACACGTGGCCCATTGAAGCAGAAAGTCAAGCTCCTAATTACTGTTTACATTGGTAAAGGACAATGTTTGAGTGTGTATAAATGTATGACCTGGCAGTGGTGCTCAGGTGTCCTACTGGCCTTCAGAAAGGAAACCATTCAATATCCTGGCCTAAAATAATGATCATCTTGCTTGGAGGGAGTAGGACTTGGAAAACTTCTTTTGCAGTAGAGTCACTAGAGGGGGACAAAGACCTAGTCTGGGTACACATCACTCTACCAGCTCCCTCGGTGCAGCTGTGGGAGACACCTAGAAAAAGCAGAGATGGCCCTTGTCTGCTTCGGACTTGAAGGTGTCCAAGTGCTGCAACACCCTTCTGGATGCTGAGAACCAGCAATGTATTGGGGAACCAAAGCACTCCGCTCCCCAAGAAGCAGGGTAGCGCATGCATGGTCATGGGTAGTTGAGCAGCCTTTATGTTGGCTCTTCCAGCATACCTCCCCACCTAGGGCCAGCCTGTCCATAGCTGGCTGGAGCTTCCAAGGCTAAATTCCAGTCATTGCACAGCACAAGACAGTGGCACCTGGGTGGACAGCCCAGACAATCATGTATGTTCACAGGCATATACTCTTGTTCTCCTTTCTCTTATGAGCGGGGAAGAGCTGAATTCTCAGGTCTGGATAGGTGCCAGGTGTTGCTGTTATCTCTGTGTGTTAAAGACGTCATGGAAACACTGGAGGACTTGCACAGAGTGTACCTGAGTGCATCCCACACACGTGCAGAGAGCTGACAGAAGTGGCCATGGCAAGCAGCAAGGCAGTGTTTGCAGCTCACATATTGACCTGAAGGGCTTAAAAGCCACTACACATTCTCCCCTGGCGAAATGTCGACCAGAATGACTCATGCAAATGGATCGTGATACGCAGCCCTCAGCCCAGCCAGGCTGTGCGGGGAACCAAGACACTCCCATTTTCTCCCCTCCAGCATAACTTCCCTGACCAGAGCCAGGACTGAGCCATTTTGGCTCTGACTGGAGCTGGTCAGAACATGTTTTTCTCTTCTTCTCTTTTCCCCTCCTTTACCCTTTGGAAAATGTTGACATTTTAGCAAAGGGCTGAAAACCCAAACCCTGAATATTTTCCATTGGAAAGTGCTGGGGGGAAAGGGAGGAGAATAATCCCCAAAATGCCAACAATCAAATCTCTTTTGCTTTTAAGGCTTTTGGGTTTATTTGAAGGACAGTGAACACCTTCTGTGAAAATATCTGTTCTCTCAAGCCCCATTTTTTTTACTAGGCAAGTGTTCCAGCTGGCATCCTTTCCACTGGTGATGGTTTGGACTTTCTCTACATCTAATTCTGGAAATGACCTGAAGAAAACTTAATTGATTTGATTGGAATATAAGGCACAAATGATACTCCCACAGCACAAATGATACTCGCTTGGTATTCTCAGTATCAGGAGAATATAACCTGATATTCTGCCTTTGACAACACTGCAAACATCTCAAGCAAGTTTGGGACCTGGTCTCTGGAGACATTGCACTTGCCTCAGACCTCAGAGCACATTCCTGAAGGGAATCTACCTGTCACAAGATCACATTAAAGGCTGTGAAGGAAAAAATATGTACTGCTAGGTGCATTGCCTGTAAATATTCCTTGACTAATAGACAGCACAGAAACACTTACAAAGCACTTTGTTCTGATGTCTTCAGCTGATTTAGATGTCTGTCTGAATTGTAATGTAGACCTGGAACATCTGTTTCATCTCGTCTTTGCACATCCCTCTGCTTTCCTGTAAGTTAAAAGTAAAAAAGGGACAGTGTTAGCATAACAGAGCACTCACATTTGTAGGAGATGAGTTCTGCCCTCAAACTTTTACTAAATGTGGCTAATAGCAGGTTAGAGTTTAAAAAAGGAAAGATCTGAAAACGGGCATACCCTGGTCATACAGAAATTCAGGCTTCAAGCTAACAGAAGCTTTCAAAACAACAGCAGAGGGAAGTTCAGAATAGCCTCCAAAGAGGAACAATGGGAATAAAACCTGTTTGAACACATTTCTTTCTCAGTTGTGGGATACGACAGCAGAGTAGATTCAATGACCCAGAGGTCCCTTCTAATCTGTTGCACCTCTTCCCCCATTTTTTTTGCACACTGAATCAGTTATTCTTTAGCTTCTCTCTGCTATAATCTAGCAATTGCACTGCTGCACATTGCCCAGATCTAGCACAGGTCTCTGTCCCTGTCACCTCCAGGCTTTTCTGAACTAGCCACCTGTGGTTGAATTAAATCAGTGCCAAAGAAGAGGCGTATTTGGCGCCATCAAATCTCTGTGTTTTATTTCCTTTTCTGTTTAAGAACATCTCCCCATCATGATTAAAGCTTATAAAGCAGTGGGTTTAGAAATAATGGTGCAAAATCTCAGTTTTAGACCTCACCTTTATCAGCTGGGGACAACTAAGTTGCATATTGATAAAGGGAAGAGGCACTAAATGGCTCTGGTAATGCAGTGACAAGAAACACAGAGCTCCCAAGGACCTGCATTGGTGCTGTATGTCCTTTGCCATCATTTTTCAAGGTAAGTAACCAATTTTTCACTTGCAGAACTCTACTTTTGAGTTAATAAAGTCAGAAGATCAAGAGCTTTCATCCCTCACCTTGGAAACACAACTGCATGCAAGAAGCCACAGCAGATAGATACCCTAAAAGTAGCCATCCAGACGTGAAGAGCTGTAACTAGCCATTGGAAACCCATACACACATAGCTGGGGTGTAGCTATATGACTTGCCAAAGGCTGAGATGTCTGTGCTCCTGTTGGTGCTAAAGGGGCAGATGCAGAAACAAGGAGAGTCCAAGTAAGGAGACAAAGGGTCAAACGAATCACCCTGTCCCTGTGTGAAATGTAACAACTGGGAGGGCAAACAAATTAAGCTAGGGCTTGTGACTGTTAACATTCAGGAAACATGTTCCACAAATCCAGCTTTCCAAGAAAAATCCGATTCTAGCTTCCTTCTGGTAATTTAAGGAAGCAACAATCTGTTCATACGGCCCTCAGATCAGGCTGGCACAGGGACTGGATCTGCCAATAACACTGAAGAACAGCTCTTGTGGGGCAGAGCAGTGGTACTCCCCATGCACCACTCTGCTCCCAACTGGGGCAAGGTGAGAGGCTACCCAGGCAGAGCACATGGACCTCTCCCTTGTGTTTCCTTAGCATTTGCCTTTGTTGGATAGGGATGTTAGATGGTGCCTCTTGCCCCTGGACACCTCTTTAGTGTCCATTTACAGACCTGTTGTCTGTGAATTTGTCTGATCCCACTTTGAGCCTGCTGATGCTGTCTGCCTCAGTAGCCAGCATCTTCCAGAAGTTCTCTACTTAACGTGATGTGATTTCTTTAATCTGTTTTAAACTTGTTTTCTCCCAGTTCCACCGAGTGCTCCCTGCTCTACTGTTGGCCACTAATAGCTCTGCATTCATCTCAGCCATCCTCGTTTTGTGAACGCAGTCCTTAATCACCAGAAAAACAGCCAAGAATTGCGATATTGGGTTGCTCAGCTCACTTCCATCCCCGTCGCTTGCTGACCTGCCCGGAGTGGTTCTGTGCCTGGAGCACTCTGGCCCTTACCAAACTCAGAGGGGAGCAGGACGACAGCAGAGCAAATGGAGCGCAACTTCCTTCCAGTGCTCGAGTGCCTACGCAGCTGCGCACGGGTGACGCAACGGGTCCGTTCCTGTGGTCAAGAGCTGGATGCTGATGGTCCTGTCCCTGCCCTGCAGGGGGCTGCAAAGCAGCAAGCAGGATTTGGGCAGGGTAGGCTGGCAGCCCCGGCGGGGGAGTCAGGGGCATCTTCCAAAGTGGCTTTAATTAATGAGCACATGTGCAGCGAGAAGAGTTACAGCATCCCACTCAAATTGTTGACTTGGAGCCGCTTCTGGAGACAGCCGTATTCTGCTCATTAGGAAAGAGCTTTTTTGCAATGCCCTTGGATAGGATGGCTCTTGGATTGCACCACGAGATCAAGTCCACGTACGGGCTGCCTGCCTTTCGGCTGCCAGCTCCAAGAGGGTTGTTTTTCTTGTCTTCTCATTCTCAAGGAGTGCTCAGCCAGATGGCCTGTTTTCGAATGCACTGTGCGTTGGTTGGATGTGTGTTTGGAGAGTCTGCCAGCTTCACGAGAAGGAAGAAAGAGCAAAAGAAAGGGAAAAAAGCGCCATTTGGTATCTATCTCTGGGGCCCAGCCAGAGTTGAGGCTCTGTTTGAAGAAGGGGGGAGTCTTAAGAAAGAAACTCTAGACAAAATTAAAAGCTGGAAAAACTTTCAAGCTTGACAGACTGGGAGACTGAAGTTCTGTGCAACATCCATCCACTACCTGGCTCCCTTGCAAACATGTAGCAGACTCCTTCAAGATCAATAGTAAGAGCAAGCACAAGCACCAAGTGTTTGCCTCGCTGTCCTCCCAGCACACTTCACCTATGGGCTGGCATGTGGAGAGATGACCCAGCCATTCTGCTCACCAAGGCTGGGTACCACTGCCTGTGGCCTCTGGGGTTCTGCTCTCAGTTCACCAGCACGCAGCCCGAACACATCAGCCCGGAACGAGGAGCTGCAGTTGATCAGTATGAAATCACCATCACTAGCTCCCAAAGAAGCTCGCCTTAATTTTACTGCAGGCCAATGTCGTTTTCTTGCAGCCCCTCCATGTTCACTTCCCAGAAATACCTTCTGTTGATCTGGGGCAGCAAATAAACACAGCCCAAACCAGAGCAACGGCTTTTTCCAGCACTCATTGGCAAATAATTTGAACCTGACGAGAAAAATCTGTGGTTGAAGGGAAGGGGGAAGTTTTGAAGTTTGGGTGGATTGTGCTCGGCTTTCTTTTTTAACTAGATGTCGTGTTGTGGTAAAAACACATTGTTCCAAGCAGCAGGAGGAGGTCTTGTTAAGAAGAGCCGGAGAAAGCCACGTTTGTAACCATCCCCGCTGGCTGTCACGCCACTGCGCCTTACAAGCAGGCTTCAGCACTGAACCCATGGCACAAAGAGGATGGTTGCGGGAGCATGTGGGTGCCTGCAAACCCCCTGTCTCTGCTGGGTGCATCATATGATTTTCAGTGAAATGATGAGGATTCAGGGGCCCAGGGTGAACGGTGTGTCCATGGCAACAGTGACTGGGCTATGGGTTACACACTGCAGACAGCAGGGGCAAAGGGGCTCTTCTCACACAAGCTGTGGGCCACACATCTCTGTTGGTATCTGCAGCCTGTGGTAGGCACCTGCAGCCTTCCAGAACTGCCCGACTGGCACTGCACAGTGTCCAGGACACATTCAGGGTTCCTTTCACAGCAGTGGCAAAGAGCATTTGCAGTCCCCAGCATGTAAAGAGCAGGACCCTTCCCTGCATGCAGAGAAACATCAGCAGCCAGTGGCAAACTGGACTCTGACACTGAGACTTGGTGGTGCAGATGCTGCCCTGGAAGTGAAGGAGGATCTGACAGTTCAAGACAAGGACTATGGCATGCAGATACATTTCTGCATGGGTAGGAAGGCTGCACGATGAGATCACCTCAATTCCTACTCTGAATTGGTAAACTATTTACCAATTTTGGTAAATCTTCCCAGCGTAAGAAACCCAGGCTGCAGTACCTACAGTCACAGCTAAAATCATTACAAGGGGTTGGATTTTCTGCCTGCCAGAAAACAAGGTGGGAAAATCCAACAGGAAGTTTTTGAGGGCTCATTAAACCATTCAGGCAAGTGCCTGATTGTCACCAAGTGCCACGTCATGGAACTGGTAAAGGAAGGATTTCTGTCTTTAAGCATACAGAAAATTCAGGGGTCCAGGAGCCATAAGACTGGGCTTTGCCACAGCCAAATGAACTGCTTTAGGCTTGTTACTGCACCTCTTGGCACATGGAAACAGTAATTACCACCGTGTTCACATGAGTACGGTTGGGATGAGGTAGCTGCATGGTTACAGAGGTCCTTGGTGCACTTTGGGTGGGAGATCAGCTGGAAACAAACTCACCCAAGCTGCATGGCTGTGTCAGACCCCAATACTAATGTGTTAGTTTTCATGTGCTTTATCTCATTGCTGCAGTGCTGCCTGACCCCTGGACCAGCGCACCTCCAGGACACACACAGTGGCCTTCAGGCAGGAGCTGGCAGGCCAGTCTGAGAAAACCTTTTCCTCTAAGCTATCTGCTGGCTGTCATTACATAGCTAGCATTGTTTAAGGAGGGGAAGCTACAGGGATTGCCCAAACATGGGAGTTTGGAAATGCATGTACTGTAAAGAGGGGGGAGGCTTGCCTTCTAGCACCAGTCCTGGCTGCTCTGTGTATAACTATTTTAGCCAGTCTGTACCTGGATGGGAGATCTCTGACACTGAGAAAGTCTCCGCTCCCAGCTAGGCAGAGGTCAGTACACACCTCAATATGGCATATTGATGTATTGTGTTGTCCATTATGAACAACAGTGAGTGTGGCTGCACCCGAGTTCAGCAGCACCCACTGAGGTACTGTGGAGGATGGCTCTGATTAAGCAGCAGAGCAACTCATTTAGGCACCATCCTCCTTCAGTTCCTCAAGGCTTTGAGAGGGAGTGAGCTCCCCAGCTCAGTTATAAAATGGCCAACAATCTCCCCTTCCTCCATGCGTGGCCTCACTCTGTACCCAGAAGCTTTCAGAGCACGTTTTTAACTTCATTTGAAAAGTAATGTTGCTACCAAGAAGAGATGATGGGGAGCACACAGAGCTTCTGTTTCCCAGTTGCCAGGCAAAACTTTCTGCACTGCA